TGCATCTGGGAGCTTTGCAAAAAAAGTTGATGTTTGAATCCACTCTAGACCAATTGAATAAAAAATGTCTAGGTTGGCAGGTGGAGTCCAGGGGGATAAATAAGTGCCACTAAAGTGGTGTCATTAAGTGTGCTAAGGGAGGGAGTAACTAGTTATAACTGAGAAGGAACTGAGGAAGATGTGTAGGAAAATGACATTCAAGTGTGAATGTCAAAGATGAGTAGGATTTTGTGAGAAAAACAAGGAGTGGGGTAGAAGATTCCAGTCAAAAGGGATAAAGGAGTTGAGAGGGTAGCCTGTGTGAGGTACAGGAAACAGAGTTTCAGCCATTAAAGAATTCTAGAACCAATCATGGGAAGATAGCTCTGACATAACTCTGAACTTGTGGTAACAGTGACCCACAAAAGGTGTACAGAAGACTCCACCAAGGATGCTCACCTGAAGAGGTCAAGCCGCCTACCTGAAAATAAAACATGTTAATAACCCACACTTTCCTGTTTTATGTTTTCAATCAGCAGTTTTCACTTCAGAATTGTTATTTGATGGCCTAGTAACGAAGATCCCCCGCCCCCATGACCATTTGGTAATTGTTTGAACTGCCCTTCCAATAAGACCTTGCTTTTTGACCCTCCTTTATTTTCACTTAGAAGTCGATGAATCCAAGATTTCTGATTTCCATCCTAGTCCCCTCTGAGGTGAAGGGGTGGCGTAGCGAGCAGGTGTTTATGAGTCTGTGCACAGGTGTGGGTGTGGCTGTGGCCGAAGTATCCAGCTGTAGACCCTCAGTTTCATTTCAGTTTTGAGGTTTGCAGCCTATCTATTGCCTTTTCCTCCTGATGTATCACATCAGACCAAATGGCGAAGCAGCCATACTGCTAGTGGGTCAGGGATAGGTCCCGAGGACCCAAAGCTGACTAAGATTATTCCATTCCCCTGGGGTATTGACTAGCCAGGGATTTTCACTCAACACAGGCGTAAGGCAATCACCTGACGGCATTCCCACAGCCTAGTGACTGAGTAGCCAGGAATTGGCACAAGACTTAGCTGTTTTAATTGGAGAGGAAATTCTCTTTCTCTTTAGACGTACGTGAAGAAACTCGTAGACCCTGGAGTCTCTGGCAGCCAGCCATTGCACTTTGAACTTACTGTGATATTGCCGATATATTCCAATCTTGCACCAACACAATCCATTATTGTATAAGTCTGTCTATGGTAGAATATCCATAAAGGTGGCCCCTGACAAATTCTTCATCCCTTTATGAACGAGGTCCTCCTCCACCAAGAAGTGAAATCTGTTCGCCTTTCCCTTGAATCTGGGCTGTCATTGGAACTTACTTCCCCAACAGAATGTGACAGAAGTGATGTTCCCAGCAGGTTTTCAGCAGTGGTATCTTGTCTTCTTTGACCCTCTGGGGACCCAGCTGCCATGGAAAGCAGCTCAGGCCAGACCACTAAACAATGAGAAACCGCTGAAACCTTTTGGCTCAGCGGTAGAGCGTTGGTCTGCGGACTGAAAGGTCCCAGGTTCGATTCCGGTCAGGTGCATGTAGCTTGGTTGCGGGCACATTCCCGGTAAGGGGTGTGCAGGAGGCAGCTGGTCGATGTTTCTCTCTCATCGACCTTTCTAGCTCTCTATCTCTCTCCCTTCCTCTCTGTAAAAAAAAAAAAAAAAAAAAAAGTTAAAAAACAAACAAACAATGAGAAACCATGGGAAGAGAGAGCAGCCAACCTGCTCCCAGCTCCCCAGCTCAAATGCTGACATGTGACTGAAGCCATCTGAACCAACACCAGGTGGAGTAGAAGAACCATGAGAAATAGTAACTCATGTTATTTAAGCTCCCCAGTGTGTGATGGCTTATTATACAGAAATAAATGATTCTCCAATGGCAAAGAAAGGGAGTGGATTGATAATTTTCAGGGGGAAAGGAGTGTGGGTGGTGCAGGAAGAGACTGATTAAAATCGTACTCGTATGGATGAGGACAATTGGAGGGAGGTAAGGGCAGAGGGTGGGGTGGGAACAGGGTGGAAGGGAGCTATGGGAGGGGAGGGGAAACAATTGTAATAATCTGAGCAATAAAGATTTATTAAATTAAAAAAATAAACAAATGATTCACAAGGGCAAGTTGGGTCTTCTGTTACTTATATGGAATCTTCTCTGGTTTGTTTAAATAGGCTTCAAGTTTAAATGCTGTCAGCCTCTAGTAACCAAAAAATCCAACTCAATAAGGATATTTATTATCTTCATGATATGAAATCCCATATTAGGGCCACAGCAGGATTGGTTAATGGTCCAATCGTTTCATTAAGGACTCATAGTCTGCATTTTCCACACTGTCATCCCCAGGGTTCCTCAGGTTACCTCCGGTCAGGGATGTAAGAGGCTGCAAAAAGCCAGACATCACATCCAGACAGACAACATCCAGCAGGCATCAAGGAATATTTCTTCTTTATATGCCTTTTTTTAAGAGTGAGGAAACTTTTCCCAACATCAGGATTCATTAGCTTAAACTTGTTTTAAACTAATTACAGGAAAAGTGGAGTTACCAAGATTAGCTCCACATGAAAGTTTACCCTAGCCATGTAGAAGGTGGTCACCTCGACAAGGTGGGTTTCTGCCAACAAGAAAAAAGGTCATGGTTGCTGCACTGGTAACCATGGTGTCTACTACAACACGAAATTAACATTAACCATGGAATGAAACAGACGCTCTTGAAAGACAGGCAGCCTTTACCCAGCGGTCTTAAGTGGTCTCTGGTTCTGTTCTTCCACACACATCTCTGCCTCCCCCGCAGGCTCCCCTGCCCCTCCCCATCCAAATGTTTTCAAGGTAGAAAGCAATCAAAACCCCAAACTAGCAGTTGGGGTCCTGGCAGGAAGCAGAAGGCATTCTTGGGAGGAGATTTGGAAGAGAATGTGATGAAGGGACCATTTGCTGCAGTGCAGTCATGGTTCAACAGCCATCAGAGGATGCTGTTACCCAGGAACCAGCAACAATGGGAGGCAGAACTCACTTCCCCAGGCTTAAGAGGCATGGGGCAGAGAACAGTAGTTCCTGGGGCTTGACAAGATACAATGGAAAAGGAAGCCCAATAAGAATTGTCCTCACAGAGGCACGCAGATGTGCCAGGCCTGGGTGCGGTCAGACAGAGAGGGGGGAAGAAATACCCCAGCCTCTCTCCGTGGGCTCCAGTCTGTAGCTGGCACCCCTTTTGGTGAAGAGCCATTTAATAATGCCTATAGGCCTTTGGGGCACAGAGCAGGACAGAGAAGGCAGAAAATAGATTTGGTTAATGAGTGGAGAATCAATGAGTTAATCAATGACCCAAAACTGGAACATTTTATTGAAGTAAAGTAGTTTCAGAATCCACATAGTTTAGTCACTATTACCATTCACTAATACTCATCCCTGGTCATCCATGGCTAACTCAGAAAGTGCCCAATACCGCTTCTCTTCTGCAGCCAGGCAGGACAACATTCACATTCAATTGCATTCCTGGCCGGGTCAGGAGTCCTGCTCCCTACAGGTGGCTAAAGATGTTTGTTAATGCCTCTGTGATGACCTGTGAGAGGGGAAGGGAGATTGTAAACAAAGTACATCCATTAATTCAAGGCTGACTGTGTAGTTGAAGAGAGAGTTTGTTTCACTGTTGGGAAAACAGAGACGTTCCCTAGAATTGAAATCATGGTGCTATGGGACAGTTCTCAGGTCTGGTTCAGAGCTGCCAGCACCAAATGTGCGCCCCCCGCACTTGGAGGCAGGGCAAGCCTGGAGTTATTACCCAGGTCCGGGCTGGGCCTCCTGGTGGAACTGCTCAAGCAGAGCCTGGGGCAGATGCGGAAGCTGGACCGGCCAGACCGGGAGAGGGCTGCCCGCGGGGGCCAGCGACGGCTGGTGTAACAGGTTCTAAAGCTGGTTCCAACCCCCCCCCCCCCCCCCCCCACGCTACCAGATTACCAGGGTCTGGAGACTTGAGGCAGGAGGCCAGGGCCAGGGATCCGGTCGTGTTTTAGAAAGAATCACGGATCCCAGGTGGGAGACCCAGTGCTGCCCTGGGCAGACACCTGAGCCGCACTCCCGCCCAGTCTCACCTGAGCAGCAGGAGGGGCCCCACGTGGGTGCTGGACTCCCAAGGGCGCGCGACCCGGATCCGGGTTAGCCGGTCCCCACCCAACTCCCCTCCCCAGCGGGCATCCCTGGGGTACCTTCTCCATCTCTCTCCCACCGACCGGCCTTTAGCAGAAAGATTAAAGTTTCGGGTCGGAGTGCTACAGGGGCCCGGGTACGCCGGCCCAGGCAGAGGGACGGGGAGGCTCGGGCTTCCGCGGGGCACCCAGCGCCCGCCGCCCGCCTCCAGGGCCGAGCTCCCCGAACCCGCCCCGGAGGCGGAAGCAACAGGGAGTCGCCCCCACCTGTGGGCCTCCGCCCTCAGCCCCCGGCTCCTCTCTCCGCCCTCGCTCCGGGGGCCGGGAACCTGCCGGGGGCGGGGAGGGAGTGAGGGAGGGCCGGGCGCGGAGCACACGCGGGCGGGCGGGCGCGGTGCTGGCGGGGGCCGGGCCGCGGGGCGCATGCTCACACGCGCCCGTGACGTGAGCGCCGGACCGGCGGCCGGAGGCTGGGCTGAGGGTGCGCGGGGCGGCGCGCGGAGGACCCGGGAGGAGCGTGGAGGAGATAGCAGATCCCAGCAGATCCCCGAGCAGAGCTGGGAGCACCACAGCAGCAGCAGGATCCGCCCGGAGCCCCGCCGCCGCCGCCGCCGCCGCCAGCCCCGGGCGCGAAGCCACCGCCGCCACAGCAGCCCCCGCCGCGCCGGCCGCCGCGGGCCGGGCGGGGCATGAGCGCTGAGGGGCCGCGGCCGCCCCCCGCACCGCCCGGCGGCGCGTCCCGGCTGTGACCGGGGCGGGCGCGCGCGGCCGGCCACGCTCGGGCCGGGGGCCCATGGGCGCGCGGAGCCGGGCGCCGGGGCGCTGAGCGCGGGCGGCGGGCGCGGCCGGAGGAGCCATGGACTGCAGCCTCGTGCGGACGCTCGTGCAGAGATACGTGAGTGCTGCTGCCCTCGGGGGGACCGGGAGCCGGGCGGGAACGGGACCCGGGGACACCGCCGCCGCCGCCGCCGCCCCTAGCACCGCCCGATCCCGCTGTTGCCGCCAGCCCCGGGGTCCCTGGCGGCTTGGCCGTCTCCCGGGGGGCGAGCAGGATGCGGGGAGAACCTACGCGCGGAGTTTGCACCGTCCTGGTGCTTCCGACGGTGCAACCCTCCCGGCCCCCACCTGCTCCTCCCGGTGCACCGGCGCGCCCCTCCCCGGAGCCCGCGCCGGGATGGGGCCGTCCTCGCAGACCTTCCTCCTGCGGCTCCGCTCCGGGCCCCGGGCCGGAGGGATGTGCAGGTCCGGCCTCCGCCTGTCACTTCTCTCCAGGCGGATTAGGAGATCCGGAGGGGTTACCCTTGCACAGGAAAAGGCGGTGATTTTTGCTGGTTTGCCCACTCCACTGGGGGGATTCCGAAGTGAAGTTTGGAATCTCCCCTGTAACCAATCAGCTCCGAGGCCCCGGGCGTTCTGAAGTCCCCTGGAACCCACGTTCCTTGGCGACCGGGTGTTGGGGTCAGGGGGGCAGGCCGGGAGGGGGGGAAGTTAGTTTTGTTTTACCATCGCTACCGAGGGCCCACTGCGTGTGGCAGCGATCGCCGGCGCTGGATGGCAAAAGGGGGTGGGTGTGCCGAGGGAGAGAACACACTCCGCCGGATGTTGTTTCCCGGACGCTGTGGTTCAACACCTACGGCTCGCTGTTCCCTGGCACTGAGCTGCTGGCCCCAGGTCCAGGTGGGTCACAGGTTTGGGAAGGCCGGCGCTCGGAGGTGTGGGGCCAGAAGAGGGCTTTATGATGGGAACTTCATAAAACTTTTGTGTCTCTCCCTCCCCCTCCCCCCACCAATAGGAATTACCATAGGCAGTCTTTCATAGGTATGAGCTTTCTTTGAGAAGGAGATCCTGGCACAAGGGGAAAGTTTCTTTTCATCCAAGGGGAACGCCAAATCAATGTTTTTTTTCCCTCCTGAATCTAGTCACTATCCAGAAGACTCAGAAGTCTAGGGAACTTGTGTGCCCCTTTCGTAGTTCTTTCCTTTCGGAAGTCAGAGTTACCTTAAGTGGAGAGAATCTCAGTCTCTCTCTCTCTCTCTCTCTCTCTCTCTCTCTCTCTCTCTCTCTCTCTCTCTCTCTCTCTCTCTCTCGATTCTAGCTTAGCTGATGACAGACTCATGTCATTTCCCAAAGTCCATACTGTAATGTGAGTAGTAAACATCAGGTGCCACCTTTTTGTGTGTGTGTGTGTGTGTGTGTGTGTTTACAGGAATATGTTTTAGAAAAACCAGTAATAGTGACCATAGGTGACCAGATTTATAAGAGAAATCTTTCTTGGCCAGGTACTTTCTTTTCTCAGCTGTATTACCCAGGAGGTGTGTGTGTCCCTTGGCCAGTTATTTTCAAACTGCCTCGGTTTTCCTCAAAGGGAAAATGTACTCAAACTATTTTTCGCATTAACTTTAACCCTCTTCCAACTCGTACATTTTGCAGTAAAAAGAAGGGTTGAGTTGTGAGAAGTAAAGCGTCGTTTTGTCCCCATGAGAGGTGAAGGGTGGATGGGACATCTTTCCTCTGCCTCTGACCGGGTCCAGGTGCACTGTCTGGTGGGTCTGACCTCCCCACTTCCCGACTCCTTCATCCTGAGACTGGGGCGGATATTATGTATCTTTTACTCTCTTACTTCCTCCAGGCCTTCAGCTGTTTTTTGTTATATCAGTCTATAGAAATGTCAATGTAATTTACATTTTAAAATTCCCTTTTGCTCTGTTGTTAGACATAAGAAAAATTTTTTTCTCTCAAATCCAAGTGGTAAATATTTTTTAATAGACTTTTCCCAGCATATGCATTATTGGTAATGTCCCTGGACTGCAAGTTATAGGATACTGTTATTATGTCTATTTTTCTGCACTTTTTTTCCTGTCTGGTCATTTGGGTACTACACCATATTCACATACAAAGTCATTCCTTTCTATGCTGTTAAGCTCATGTCCATGCTATTAAACTAATTTGACCTTTCCCAGAAACAGTCATGATCTGTTATAATTTAGTTATCTTTCCAAAGATGTGTAGGACCACATTGTATTTCCTTTTGCTAGAGGAGGGAAAAGTCTGGGGTTGACCTTCAAATTTCCTGCAGTTGTGGCTTAAACCCTCTTCTCTGGTAGTGATCACATAGTCAGAATTTCTAGGAGAAAGAAAACTTCTCAGCTGCTTCTGATGCAGGAGGGTTGCCAAATGATAAAGACGTCATTAGAAAACATTGCTGTAGGTATTTTATTCTAGGTTAATCCCAAAGAGAGAGAATAGGCAAGTAAATGAGAGAATTCTCTTCCAGGATTGGCTGTATATACAGCTGCAGGTTGCAAAGCATATATTACTGTTTGTTTGAATGTCTGGAGGGATATAAGCCATTTAGAGAGGTTTTGTATTTATAAATAGAACAGTGCTTATGTATCATGAAGTAGTTTGGTGTGTGTGTGTGTGTGTGTGTGTGTTAATCCTCACCCGAGGATATTTTTTCCATTGATTTTTAAAATATATTTTTATTGATTTTTTACAGAGAAGGCGAGGGACAGAGTTAGAAACATCAATGAGAGAGAAACATCGATTAGCTGCTTCTTGCACACCCCCTATTGGGGATGTGCCCGCAACCAAGGTACATACCCTTGACTGGAATTGAACTTGGGACCCTTCAGTCCGAAGGCCAACACTCTATCCACTGAACCAAACCGGTTTCAGCTCCATTGATTTTTAGAGAGATTGGAAGGGAGAGAGAAACATCTATTGGTTGCCTCTTGAATGCGCCCTCATCAGGGCCGGGGTTTGAGTCTGCAACCGAGATATGTGCCCTTAACCAGAATTGAACCCAATGACCCTTCAGTTGGAGGGACACTTTTTTTTTTCTCTCTTTCATCCAAGGCTTTATTTATTTATTTTTTAAAAAATCAATCTTTATTGTTCATATTATTACAAAGGTTCCTCATTTCTTCCCCCTTCCATCAGGTTCCCACCCCACCCTCCGCCCCCTCCCCACCCCCCATTGTCCTCATCCATAGGTGCACAGTTTATGTTCAGTCTCTTCCTCCCCCCACTAACCAAGTGGATAGAAAACTAATGTTATCTCCTTTTTGTAGATGTGAGGTAGAAAACTTGGATTCAGGTATATAGTTTAAATTCTGAAAGATACCAGAGTTACCTATAGATTCTGTAGGCATAGTTACATTGTAATCTTGGGAAGGTTGTTCTTCTTCTCTGCCTCAGTTTTCTTACTGGAGAATAATAGAAGTACCCGATTTATAGGGTTATTCATATAGGCCTAGAGCGAAAAAGGGTGCCTGGCTCCGGGGAAGTGCTCAGTAAGTTTATCACTACTCGCTGTTAACATAATGTTGTTGATGATGCTGTTAACATAATTTTGCAACGGTGGGCAAGGAGAGAGCAAGCACTTCTGTTGGTCAGTTAGCAGGGGCCCGGGATGCGGTGCAGAGGTAAGCTGGGCGCCCTGCTATTGAGCAGTGTGTATGCCTCAGATAAGATGTGGCAAACTTCACAACAAGAGTGTGCTAAAACACGGCAGGCCAAACAGAAAGTCTCCAGGCCACGTCTGGCCATAACATTTCTTTATGGGTGAGCCTTCCAGGCCTGGACCACCTCACTGGCAGGACGCTTCCTTTCCTCCCTCTCATCCATGCTCCACCTTTAGGAGATTTGACTTTAAAGTTCTGTAGGCCAAGAGCTTTCTTTAGTTGTGTCTCTGTAATTTGTTTTCAGTTCTTCGGCCTGGATACTGCTTACTTGTTTTGTTTTGCCTCTTGTCAAAGTTTCTGCTACCCTGATTCCCCGAAAATAAGACAGTGACTTATATTAATTTTTTCTCCCAAAGTTGCACTAGGTCTTATTTTCAGGGGATGTCTTATCTTTCTATGCGCTAGGTCTTATTTTCGGAGGATGTCTTGTTTTCAGGGAAACACGGTAGTTTCCATTTTATAATGTTTTCTTCCTAGGATATTTCTCCTTTTTTTGGGGGGGGGGGGGAAGTCATTTTAATATTTACAAGGAACAAATCAGCAGAACAAGATTATAGCACATAGGCTGTGTACAGTAGCTGTGGCTTATAAAACATACTCTAGGATATTTCTTACATTTTTAAAAATGTTTTTATTTTTATTTATTTAAAAAATATATATTTTATTGATCCTTTTACAGAGAGGAAGGGATAGAGATAGAGAGCTAGAAATGTCCATGAGAGAGAAACACCGACCAGCTGCCTCTTGCACACCCCTTACCGGGGATGTGCCCGCAACCAACGTACCTGCCCTTGACCGGAATCGAACCTGGGACCTTTCAGTCCGCAGATCGACGTTCTACTACTGAGCCAAACCGGTTTCGGCGGATATTTCTTAAGTTTTAAGATTTTAAGATAGCAGGCTTAAAAAAAGCAGGGTGGTTTTCCTTGCTTTCAGTAGATATTTGGTTTTGAAGTAGTTTGTTACATTAGTATTTTCTTTATAAGGGAAAAAATAAACATTATTAGTTCCTGGAGAAGCATGGCTGTGCTAGAATGCTTTAAACCTTCTAAAAAGTCCAAACATTTTTATTTTTTTATTGTCTAAAGTTTTATAGGTGCCTTCTTTTTCCCATATTGACCCCAACCTTCCCACCCCTGAGGGCAAGCCCCCACCACTCCAGTGTCTGTGTCCATTGTTTATGCTATTATGCATGCATGCAAGTCCTTTGGTTCATCTGTAAACACCTTGCCCCCCATCTCCCCTGCCATTTGTCTCTGGACCTATTTCTGTTCATCAGTTTATGGTGATCATTATATCCTACCTCTGAGTGAGATCATGCGATCTTTATCTTTCTCCAACTGGCTTATTTAGAGTAGCATAATGTTCTCCAGGTCCATCCATGCTGTTGCAAATGGTAAAAGTTTCTTTTTCTTTTTTTTTTATTTTT